ATGGATGGATGGATGGATGGATGATGGATTGAGTGATAATACAATCTGTAATACAAATATAGGGTACATTAATGTTTAATAATGTGTATGTCAGTTCTTCTTTTTGATATGGAATTCTTTTGGTCCGTTATAGCGATATATAAATAAACAAACACTATAAGACGGCAGAAACTACATATAAACAATCGCGCATTTTGTACTGTCTTTAATCATTATTATTTTTAAGAGACATTTTTCTGAATATTTGTCAGATTTAATTATTCAAATGCTAACATCTAGACTGAACTTTACAAGTACACATGATCAACTTCATTCTGATCTTCCATTTTATTACATGGTAAACATTAGTCTCTAGTTACTATGAGTATAGCAGATGGTCCTGTATAACAGTGGCCATACAAAACATACTAACACACATTTCCTATTGATTAGTCAGTTTACATGTGCAGCACGTTTACATGGTCAATTACATGTATTAATTCCGAGTACTAGTACTACAGCAGGTCCAAACACTAATACAGAAAGATACAATTATTTTATTATATGTAGTGATTAAAGATGGATTCATATTTTTCTTGCTTCCCTGAGGTTACTTTCGGTTCACCATTCTGGTTGACGAAAGCCTGAAATAACAAAGCAGATAACATTCTGATTTAGGCGATCATCCACTTTCAGTCAGATCTCCAATAAATAAGTCGTATCATATCCAGTTTATTTTATATGTTGATTAGAAATCCCACTGAGAAGCTCAAGTGGAGTCTTACTTCCATCTCCTCTAAGGTGGCAGAGCCTTCCTCCACCTTCTGTCCAAGGCCATGACTGAAGCTTGAGTATCTCTCCTGTTTAACATTAGACATAACTGGCACGTTTACCAATAATCCAGTGTGTGGTAAATACAGTCTGATTTACATTTAAGTAGCTGCACACATACCTTCAGCATACCACCAATAAGCCCGTCCTCAAGGATGCGGACAGCATTTCTGAGTCCTCTTGCAAAGGCATCCATGGCTCCAATGTGAGCGATGAAAAGGTCCTCAAGATCAGTGGACTCTCTGCGCACCTTTGCATCAAAGTTCAGGCCTCCTGGCTGCAGGCCACCTTGTTCGATGATGGTCTGGAGTAAATTAGACACTGAAGAATAACTGAGGGTCTATTATCACTGTTGTCATCTACTGCTACTAGAATGAGCCAAAACATTTATTTCAAAATCCCTCTTTACCTGAATGAAACTTGCTTGTTTATTAGTTGCTTATATGAAAATTAAAGCTGCATGAATCAATATTCTTATACTAATAATGCATCAGTTGATTATCTATAATGTGAAGGGGTTTACTTACACTAAGAATAATTACAGACTGTAAATTGTTCAATTTCACTCTTTATTTTAGTTTGGTTTAGCTAATTGTTTTGGTTGTCAGGCCCCCAAAATTGACTTTGATTAATGTCATTTCTTGCAGGCACCTCTTTTCAGCAAAAAAACAAAAAAGCTCAGATAAACACAGTGCATGATACCAGCTCAGTACAATATAGATGACAGACACAGCAAGCAAACAGCTGGCCAACATAGCACAGCATTTTGCTGTCAGAGTGATCTGTTTTTCTTATGAGGAAGAAAGGAAAACTACTTTCCCAGCACAAAATGAATGACAAAGAAGTTAGCTGGCAATATAATGTAGCATTGTTTTTCTTGATTGACACCAAAATCACAACTAAAAGGAGAGTGAATACTGGACTTATATTTGCCAGTGGCCAGATATACAATTCACAGTGATGTATTTGCTGGACATGCAAGTCGGCAGCAGGTTGCCTCCACATTAGCCATATTCACTTTGTTAGATAATATTATGACATATATTGTGTACACAACTTGTACAACTGCTCCAAAGGGTGAAAAAAAATCTACCAACTGATTAGTCCTACTTCACCAATGTATATCCAAGTATATCAGCAATGTTTGCTAACTTCTACCATTACCAAACAGTTTTATCTATACAGTGCAAATGTACATGTTATCTCAAGGCCTTCACACAGTAAGGTGAACCCTTTACAAAATTACACAGAAAAACCCAACAAAGGCAAACAATTCCCTTTAAGCAGCTCTTTCGCAGCAGCTGGAAGAAAAAAAAAAACAACTCCCCTTTATCAGAAAGAAACCTTGGGCAGAACCAGGCTCTGGGAGGGAGGCCATCTGCCTGGTTGGGGTTAGGGTGACGGGGAGGGAGAACATGATAGAAGCTTACCTTCATGACCAAGGTGGTGTTCCTGATGTCCATGGGGAACTGATCTGTGTCCCATCCCAGGTCAGGCGAGCCGGTGTTTGAGTCAACAGAACCCAGCATGCCGAAACTGTCCACCAGCAAGCAAGGATGACATGGTACATTCAACATATAGCAACGTACAAGGTATGGCAGCAAAGGTTTTGCAACACTGTTAACTTAAACATGAAGTAAAAGTTGTGATAAAAGTTGTGATAGCTCACGCAGAAGCCATGACAACATCATGTTCATAAGAGTGTCCTGCCAGGGTGGTGTGGTTGGGCTCGATGTTCAACTTAAAGTGACTCTCCAGGCCATAATGCTTTAGGAACCCTATAACACTCATAGCATCTACGGGAGAAATGAGTGGCATGTAAGCTGCACCAGTGAAAGTGGAAGACGACGAAGAACATGTGTTTTGTTTAAATGTGAGACACCTTACCGTAGTCATACTGGTGTTTGCAGGGCTCCTTAGGCTTGGGCTCAATAAGAAACTGACACTTCAATCCAATCTTCTCTTTGTACTCTGGAAAAAATACACAGACATGAAGCTGGAACTCCTCAGTGCTCCTCACCTCTGACTAACCAAAACTCATGTCTGTCCCACATTCAGCGTTCACTTACTGACAGCCATTTGGAAGAAGTTGGCCATGTGCTTCAATTCAGCAGCAACATCCGTGTTGTGGATGGAGAGGAAACCTTCTCTTCCTCCCCAAAACACTGAGGAGCCAAACATATAACGATCACAATAAGGAGGCAGCATTTTCAAGGAAGAATGATAACATTTTACATGCAATATAAGTCAAGTCTCTCATACCAAAGTTTTCTGCACCCAGCTTCTTGGCAATATCCAGACCCTTCTTCACCTGAGCACCAGCATAGGCCAGAACATGGCAGTCTGGATTGGTGGCTGCACCGTTCATATACCTGTCGCATGAGGTTTACAAGTTAAATGTGTATGACATGTACAATACTATCAGATTTGTTGTATTAACATACACCCTACTGATTCATGCTTAAAATCACACATTATCCAGATGTTTAAAATGTGTGACTTCCTACTGATTACACTCAGGTTTTAGAGGTACTAAACTCTAAGTTTGGGTAAATACTGACCTTGGATGGGCAAACAGGTTGCAGGTGACCCACAGCACCTTGACTCCAGTCTGGCTCTGCAGCTGGAGCGCCATGTCTGTTATTTCATCAAGATTCCTGTTGGACTCCTCCAAAGTGGAGCCTTCAGGGGCCATGTCTCTGTGTGGAACAGAGAACAGCTAAGCAGTCTGGCTTGGAATATAAAATAAAACCACACAACACTGACGTGTACAGTGCACACTGTAAGTATTTGGACAGTTGGTTACTGCATTAAAGTCTCAGTATATAAAACATGGTGGTACATTTGTTATCACTTCCATATAAAAGGCTACTAATGGACCTGGAGCATTGACATGTACTGATGAAGGTATGATGCGGGTGAGTTCTGTGCTCATAATCACTCAAATGTATCAAAACCAACATTTCATCCAAAAGGACAACAAACCAACACATATGAGGAAAGATAAAGATAAAGATAAAGATAAAGATAAACTTTATTGATCCCACAGTGGGGAAAGTTCACCGTTACAACAGCTCCAAAAAAAAGTGTACAGTCAGTGCAAGAATAATTGGGAACACACAGTGCAAATTGTAGGAAAGAAACAGAAACACACAGTGCAAATATTGCAAGAGAAAAAAACATTATATACAGAAGATGTTTTTTTGTTTGTTTGTTTTAAAGAAGACTATATACACAAGGATGAGGCAGTAATGGTTATAGCACATAGTGGAAAGTGTTTGTTGGTGGAAAAAAGAAAAAGTGCAGCAGTAACAGAGGTACCAGTGGAGTTTGTAGTGCAGCGTTGTAAA